AAGAAGCTCAGTCTTTGCCAGGTTGAGCTGTAAGTGATATTCTTTCATCCATGCCGAGATGTCTGCCAGGCAGCCTGAGATCCGTGCAGCTACCGTTTTTTTGAAACTGACAATATATTGAGGTCTTATGAAGCAAAATGATTGGTCTGTGCACAAAACTGAACCCTATTTCCAACATTATTACCTGTAATCCAGAGCCTCAGGCAAACGGTCCGGAGTGATTTCAGGTTTGTGAATGATTCATTCTTTTGAACCGGTTCTTTTTTGTGAACTAATTGAACCAGTTCACCAAATCGGACTAAACCGTCTGAAACGGTTCTCGGTTCGAGCAGTACAGATTTTACAATTTACTTTGGATTACAGGTAATAATGTTGCTAATAGTGTTAAGTTTCTTGCACAGACCAATCGTTTCACTTCATAAGACCTCAATACATCATCAGGAGCCATGGGTATTAATTTTGTGTTCCATTATATGCTTTTTTTGATTCTCAAAGTCTTTTTTTGAGGATCTAATTAATAGGAAAGCTTACTGAACTTGGATCTTGAACTTCAATTTGGAGCTTATTTTACTTGCAAGACAAAATATTAGTTTTGTGTTCATAGAACTTGTATATAATGCTTGTTGAAAGCACAGACCAACTTTAATTGTTATACATTCCACAATTTCAAAATTACAGCAACTTTTTTCGTGTTGAGTGTTGTTGATCAGCCGTAAAACAGTGATTCTGTCCTAATTCCCTTGCATATCAATGGTGGAGTTCCCTTTAAAATCTTAAATGATTCCCTTTGAGCTAAATTATTATTGACCTGTTTACCTTACAGTGTACTCAAAAATGTACCGAAGCTAGTTGCCTTGAGTTTAGAAGTTTTCTCACTGCATCTAGACCAGGGGTGGGCAAACTTGGCCCTTCCAGGCCACTTTCCTTCAGAGTTTAGCTCCAACCCTAATCAAACACACCTGAACCAGCTAATCATTGTCTTCAAGACTACTAGAAGGCTACAGGCAGGTGAGATTTATCAGGGTTGGATCAAATCTCTGCAGGAAAGTGGCCTGGAAGGGCCAAGTTTGCCCATCACTGATCTAGACCATTTTAACACCAGCAAACAACCAATATTTTTTTTTTCCCTCAGACACACTGTTATTTGTGCTGTTGTTCAGTTGTTTAACTGCAATTTTGTATGATAATGATTCTTTGTTCAACTGAGTTGTAATCCCGTGTCTTTTCCACGTTGTAATCTGTGAATAAAATCTATAATAATTCAAAAATTCTCTGTCAATTACAGCTTCTATCAGGTGAGGGCAGGGCTGCGTGTGTCTTCTCGGGTTCCCCACAGAATCACTGCCACAACACCTGGATACACAGGTGAGAACTCCATATATTTACTTTCTTCATCTCAGAGTCTCCATAAATCAATGTGTGCAGTATCAATATGTCAAACAACATGCAACTAATCAGTTAGCAACATCGGCTTGTGTGTCTAGATTATTTTCTTTTATTAGATTAAATATTTTTAGTGGTGGTGGTTTAGATTCAAGATGCATTATCTGAGAAAGGGTTTTAAACTGTCAGCACGCCAAAATACTCTCTGAGGAGATGCATCTCTAAATTAATTCCCTATAAAGACACATTAAAGCAGAACTTTTGAAACTAATTCAACTTCTTAAACAACAACTTTAGAGACAATTACTGATGCACATTAAATCGCTTGCTGTAAGCAATGTTCCTGTTGTTATGCACAATGCATTTGCTTGTGAGTACTTCATTTTGGTTACAATTATTCAGCCTGTTTACCTTGTTTTGCTGGATACAGAATGATAGTGGAGCCCATCGGATGAGTGTGAGCATTCGAGGGCTCTTTCCCAGAGGCTTTTGGGAGGATTCCCCTCGATGTCTCTGCTCCCGGTATTAAAAATAAATGTGCAGAATAAACCACTTAGACACACATAGGTCTTTCTGTAACAAAACAGCCTTTAGAGGACAGAGAGAGATACAGAGATAGAATTTACTATCTTGATATAATGCTTTTAGAGTTGGACAAATTATCGATCACGCACTAATACTCTATCACTTGCTTTCAAAGTCAAATACAGATCGACAAATGACAATGAGTGCAATGCAACAGCTGATTTGTTCAACACTTATGCAAAATATTATTATTAAATTATTACCAAATTAAATTAATTCATTACACAGTTGAAATACTTCATTTTGAATTCTTACATTTTAAATTTTAGTTTTTAAAGTTTAAACAAAATGTTGAACTTTTATATATATAATGTTATAATTTATTCATGTGTTTAATATATATATATATATATATATATATATATATATATATATATATATACGCACGCACACACACACACACATTATTTATACACATTATATATATTATATTATATATATATATGTGAAATATATATATATATATATATATATATATATATATATATATATATATATATACGCACGCACACACGCATACACACACACACACACACATACATATATATAATACAGAAACAAATATTAATAGTGTGTACTGCTATTACAATTTAATTATTTAGTATTTTTATATTTATTATTATTAATATTTAATTACTTTAATTTTAATATACTTTAAAATACAAATTATTCCTGTCATGCAAAGCTGAATTTTTCATTATTTCAGTAATTCAACTCAAATAGTGAAACTCGTGTATTAAATAAATTCAATGCACACAGACTGAAGTAGTTTAAGCCTTT